CCTGAACTTCAGTTGATAAGATAATGTTTCGTTAGTCAAACAGTGCATCATTGATTACTTCGAGAAAGAGTACTGTGAGCAGTACCAGGGAAGGGAGCCCTCCCCCCCCCCCCCGGGAATGGGTCGCGAAATTGCTGAAAGTTACGTGCATGAAAGATATAAGAGTGTGCAAGTGACCTGTTTATAATTGTAATCGATTAAAATGATTTGCCTTCTAAAAAATTTTTTTCTAGGGCGCGGCTGACGTCACGCCCCTTTTTTCTAAACGGGGCGTACCGTATCATTAACACAAGCACCTAAAATTCTAAATTTCAATAGCATTTGAACTTGAAAAAACTGATTTAGGAAAATTGCGTTGCTTTTTTCATCATTTGCTAATTTCTATATTTTTCTTATCATTTATCTAGCTAAATGATTAAATCTTTTCATCAGAACTTCCAATTCTCACTGCCGCATGTCATTCGTCCTAAGAATCTGTTTTTTTAAATCTCTTTTCGAAGCTTTTTTTACATTTTTTTTTGGAAGCGTATGACTCCAGAACTTTTTTTTGGTCTTCGGCCTTTCTTTGTATAGCTGAGTGGCTCCAGAACTTTTTGTTGTTGTTTACCATGAAGTATTATCGGTAGTCGGGAATCCTTATCAGCTCGCTACGGCTGCGCTTGGCAAACATTTCGGAGTCAGTACTAGCCGCAGAAGTGTTTAGAAGAACTACTTTTTGTAGTATAATCTCTTCTAGGTTTTGTAAATGATAAATCTTTTGTGCATACATGTTACAGTACATACGTAATTTACAGGAAAACTCCGTTCTCATGCCAGTACGGCGCAAATTCCTTTCAATCTTAGGCGATGCTCTAGGGCATCTTTGTCCTAAGTCCTGCGGAAGTTGCGCATGAACAACTTGCCACGCGGAAGTGTAGAAGAATCGCTGAACTCATATAATTATTCCATTGATTCTTTCATCTTTGAACGTACAGCTTTGAGAATACTTCCCTAAGCATCGCAAAGTAATTCCATTCGTGATTTACACTGACCTAGGTCCCGCGGAAGTTGCGCAAGTTCCTTTGCCTTGCGGAAGTTACGAATCGCAGTACATAATAGCATCAATATGCGGTTAGCTGTCAATTGCAGCTTGACATTTCTTCTCAACTGCACTCTCTTGTACCAAGCAATTCTTGCCTAGCTCCTGCAGAAGTTGCGCGGGCCTTATTAACCCTGCGGACGAACAACTGCGGAATTTACATTCCCATACGATTTTTATTTCACGGCAGGCTGAATCTTTTGCTCAGATTGTCTTTCGTAATGAAGGCGTTATTTTATGCCTAGGTCCTGCGGAAGTTCCGATTTGCAGATATTGTATCATTATGCTAAATTTTGGTTTGCATCTTGCTCCTTTTTAAACTATCCATACTGGGACCCATTTTTTTAAGATTGTCAATTAAATGCCATGAATTACGCGATTTTGCGCAAATTCTAAGTCCAGTATTGTCGGAAATCAAATATACACGTGCCTGTGACCTTTTTGATCTGTTGTCTCACTAAAAACAGACTTTAATTTGTTTTAAATCCGTGATAATCTGCTCACAACACCTCGTAATGTCCTTTTTCTCAAGTCATCACAATCCCTAGGCTCCAATGTTTGAAGAAATCCCGGCGGATTCGTGTTTTTCATCCAGACAAATACGTCTCAAAGAGCGAAAAGCCTGTCAGCAGGCAAAAACACGCAAAAAAACGAGAATGTTGGAAAATGTTGCATAATTTCCACTATTCTGGCGGAAAAAAGTTTTTGAAAGAAAAAAGTTTCGATTTCTTCATGTTCACGTATCTTTATGTGTAAACAATGTGTCGCGTATTTGCATCGATGCTTTCAGCAAATATTTATCTTCGCTTACATAAGCGTTACGACTTTTCGATGTGTCAGTTTTATTTCGCTGTCTCACAGCAATGACAAAGTTTTATACGTTGCCACGTTGCAAACTGTATTGGCTTATTCGTTATCCTTCATAGAACGCGAATTTTCGCAATTTCTGGAAATATTTCAACATTTCTCATCGAGTAAGCTTATCTGATGAATCACTTAGTAAATACATACAGTGGATTTTACCACTGCTATGTTACGAAAATTTTTCGGAAAACTAGTGAACCAGCAATCTAAAAGTGCTAGATTACAGGAGCGTTCGCTTCGGGACCCGCCGCGGGTTTCCCGCTATTCCCGCTCTCCGGTGTTTTTTTGAATTGACGTTACGATTCTTTATGTATTAGTAACACCCCTTTTTGGTTTTACTTGTTGACTTTTTCTTGAGGAGGATGTTCCTGCTATTTTGGGAAAAAAGAGGAGGATTGCATTTCGTACAAAACAGTCTTAGTCTTTGGACTCCCCCTTAAACCTAATGTCCATGCAAATTTGGACCTCTGGGTTTTCTACGTGGAAAGGATTGGAAGAGCCTAACAAAGCCACCATGAAAGCCGCAGCTTGCATGACTCATTCTCGGCCAAGACAACTTTGAACCTGATCCTATATCGTATCTTTTCCGAACGGACTTATCAGCATCCTCGAATAAGGCCCTCTTGGTACGGTACCTAGGTTTATCCAGTACAAGTAATAAGAACATGTGAGCACAAGTTCTTTACAAGTCACTAGTATTTTACAAGCGTCTAATTCGTTCGTAGCCAAGAAATGTTATACCAAACTCTTGCCCAGTACCGTACTTTCACGACGGACCAATCCACTCGATTACGGTAACGGGTGAGAGCTTGAAATCAAATATCTCGGTCACGAGTGAATATTTTGATCTGTCTCTTGGACAATGGCTCAACTTGGGCTCTCCAGTCTCTGTGAACAAAATACCCAGATTTGGTTAAACACTGGCTTTATATGGTCCGGAGGTCTGCACAGTCATGAACAATTTTCGGGAAAAATGGATGAAAATTTTTGCCTAAGTGAGAGCAAATCTTAATGAAAAAAACGGTGGGTTTTTAGAAAGCATTTTTTAACTTAGTGATATTAAGCAAACTTCTTTGGCATTCTATAGCCCTCTTAATCTTTTTGAGACCTGTTCGATTTTCCAATTCTAGCAATCTTTTCCGCTGGAATCGCACCGCCTTTTCTGTCCTGATTTTTCTTCTAGACGTATAGAATTCAGGCTACATTTTCCCAGGAACTCCTCCCTCTCGCCACCCTTTGCATAGGAAATCTTGTTTTTACTGCTTTAATCCAATGCGTTCCACTCTTCATCCACTCCACTTTTCCATTCCAGTGGAGCTTCACTTTAGCATTGTCTTTTGTGCGATGGGGCCTTGAAATTGCTGTCTTTAATTCAAATATGTCTGGATCTCCTAAAATTACGCGTACGCGTTTTGTCTGTTTTTCTGCAATATTTTGGCATCGAAATACTCTGTCCTGTTGGTATCTCATTTTTTTCGACACAACGCTATAAAAGCTGCGAAAAAAATACGGTGAAAAGATTTTTTTCTTACCATGTTATAAGCTTTTATATGGTGTTTTTTTTTTGAAAATTTAGTGCCTTGTTGTAGTGAAATGGAGGTTTTTCTACCCAATCTACATTTCCAACCAAAATTTCTAATCATATAGAATATTCGAGATTACTGGTCAAAAATCCTTCGCTGCAATTTTTCACACTTAAGCTGTTGGTATGTGAATTTTTTTTATACATTTAGCACCCTGATGAAGTCAGAGAAAACTTGATAGAATTTTCCAGTCCAAATATTTCTGGTGGCGAGGTTTTCTAAATCTTCGACAAGTTTCATTTGAATATTCTCTATACTTTTGTTACACGATATTGGTTATGTTCTAATATTTTCATGGAACCTTATTAAATAATTTATGATATGGCGCAGAATTGTGATGTGGGCCAAATCTTAGTATTTTTGGTTACGATTCTGAAAATGGGGCGGGGGGGGGGAGCAAAGAACGATTTAGGCACGTCTGCCGGGAAATTGGAATGCTTCTTAGATTTTCAGCAATCTATTAGGTTGAACCGAAAGTTCTGTCGCACCATTTTCAAAAAATCATAACTTCTTTCGCTCACGAAGATTTTGCGCAATTCAAATTTTATCTAAAAGCGTAAAGCATGTAGTTTCCAAAAGCTACCTGGGGAGCTTTCGACATGCTCAGATGGCAGAGATAAAAATGAAAGAAGGAGACCGTCCGAATCGGAATTTTTAAGCAAGAATTCTAAAAATTCAGAAACTGTGCGATGAAATCCAAAAAAGCCATTATCCTAATTTTTCTTACATTTGATTACTAACTGAGTCAAGTTTGTGCTGATCGAGGTCTTCTTTCAGAAGTTATGAATTTTTGAAAAAAAAATGCCAAAAAATCCATTTCTTAAGAATTCTTAGGAAATTGATTATTCGACAGGACAAGCGAGCGACAAAAGGCCTTAGGCACGTCTTTAGAAAACATTTTTAGGTAGCTTCTCAAATTTAGCAAACTCACCTTTCCATCTTCATAAAAAAAGAAGATACCATCCCGGATTTCCTCTGTTAGATTTTTATCTTCTCAATTAGCTAATAATAGAAATAGTCACTCAAACGATTTTGTAACTTATGGCCCCCTCTCGTCATCGCTATACTTTTGTGCTATCAAGGGGGCCACACTTCTTAACTATGAGCAGCTGTATAAATACTTCCACTCTTGGTCGTCATTTCATTCTTCTCTGCTAAACTCTCCACTACCATCCATTCTCTGTATTATTCTTTTTTTTTCTGACATTCGGTTTCGAAACAAGCTCTCATTTTCATCGTCTCCTCCTATCAAGCTCGAAACGAATCAGAAAAAAATGGCTATACCATCCTACATGACTCATTCACGAAGCTCTAGTGTATAGTCATCAAAACCCTTTTTCGTTTTGCGCCTGGGTTTTGCTCATGTGGCTACTATGATATTTCAGTTCATGAATAATATCTTTGCCCTTTCGATCCTCCATCCGTCGTCGTATGCATTTAATTGAGTTTCCTATCTATAAATATCCTTTTTTTTCAGACGACTATTGCTTAGCTGATGTACCCAGTGGGTTAAAAATACGTTATACATGATGCTGCAGCAATTTATACTAAGTGAGTTTTTTGCCGTAATTTTTTGCTAAATTATTCAATATATCATAAATAATACAAATTTGTATGAGCTCACACTTACCTTCTATTTTTTTGACTTTTCAATCACATTGAAATATTCTTTGAATTTATGGGCGTTTATTTACTATTGATTTTTCGACTTTTTCTCGAAGACAGTGTCCAGGCAAATCTGGATCGTTGGACCTTGTGGATTCTGACTGAGAGTCTTGATTGAGCTATTGCTCAAGCTACAGCTCTTAGGATTTATTTGTGGCCGGGAAATTTAAATTTGAACCTTCGCCCGTTACCATACTCAAAGACGCTAGTGTTGTCTGGGGATACTGTACTGGGCAAAAGTTTAGAATTTCTCGGCAGCGAAGGTGCTAATCTGCTGCTGACGTGGGGATTTGTTCCACGTAATAAACATTAAAGTCTCCCTAACATGTTTTCCTAGGTGTTTTTGAGTTATGGTGTAAATGCACAATTTTAGGCTTTTTGCTCACCACTGTGGTGCCGATTTCTGCTCACACAGTTGCACTAGGCAACTTGGCCGTAGTTATTCGAGGTGAAGGTGTTCTTTCCGATGATGGAAATCCCATAAAAGCAGCCACATCTGATCTGTGGTAGGTTTTATTTTTTGAGGGAAAAATTGGTAGTGTAGAATTTCTTTTATTATTTTTCCGATTTTGCTTATAAAAAGTTGCTGACTGGTGAGGGTTTCTCTGGGCAAGAAAAAGGGTTTTCTTTGTCGTACAAGGCTATATACCGCTGTACAAAAAAATTCGCTTCAGGTGCCAAGCTAGGAAAGATGGTGAAATACAGGAGATCACTTGGGCACGATTCATACGGACAAAAGACAGAAAAGTTATTGAGGTAAGAAAATTGATTTATTTTTGAGTCAAATATGTTTAAGGCGTCGACCAAAATAGTAATGGGTAGCGGGTGGTAGACGAATACCTCCTCGAGTATCCAAATTTGTCTGCCCACTACCTTCAAAATCCTTTTTTACACTTTTTTATTCAAAAATGTCGCTATTTAACCTAGATCACCTACAAAATTGTTCCTGCAAGTTTTCGAACATCATAATTTTTATGGGGAAAGGCATTTTTCATTTTTTTCATATATCTCGATCGGGAGCGTTTCAACATTAGAAAAAAGAGCCATAAGTAGATCCCTCCCCGAAAAGCACACGAGCCACCTAAAGACCGTCAATCATAAGAACTACATAAACGTTAGCGATCGGAAACCTCTCTTTAGCGGTGAAATGGGTAGCGGGTGATAGATTCCATTCTTATCTTCCGTATGTTTTGATACGGGCTAATAGAATAAAATCCAATTTATTACTTAGAAATAAGAATTCTCCTCAGGCACAAATAGACCCGGACAATCGACGAGCTCGTCTTGTCTTTGGCGAAGCATCAGCAGCAGATTCCGGTAAATATCGATGTGAAATCCGGACCAAAGATGGAGAACTGGTCTTTGGAAACATGTTTGCTTACTGTAAGTTTTCTCACATTCCCATTTTCTTTTCCTTTCAAGGAGTTTGTTTTTTCAGCTCGACCGGTTGTGCATACGAACTCGTCCGATGCGATGTCAATTTCACCTTCGGATCCTACGCTAGTCATTGCTCCGCCTCTTTCTTCCTCAAGGGAATCTACGGCTCACATTAGATGTCCTATCTATGCCTATCCTCATCCGGAAGTTGTCTGGTATAAGGACGGCATGCCAATCGGTAAGGGTTTACCCTAAAAATAAGCATGTTACAGAAGGCGACCATCTCAAATTCCGCGCGCAATGAGAAGATCCATCGTCAGCGTTTTTGGCGGGAAAACCGGTTACAGTAGTATAGGCCGCCGCAGGTCTCGACGCTATCTGATTAGGCGCAGGGATGGGCGTGGCTTCAAGTTGCTTGCGTTTTGCATGTGTTGTCGCCTTTCGCAAGCCTCTTCCTCAGGCAGCGTTTCAGACTTTTAAATACCGCATGGCTTTTTCCAGAACCCTCAGCGAAAATTGCGCAACACAAAAATTCACTTGAAATCAGTGCACTCGAGGATAAGGATGCCGGGATGTACAGGTGAGAAAATCTGCTCAATAGAGTTTGCAAGCGTGTGAAGAGCAACGTGTCGCCATGGTGTTCGTCAGCGCGGACAACTGATACAAATCGTGCATCTCAACGCATTACAGCCTGTACCAGTTGCCAGCGCAAATGGAGCCCATTGAGACATAGTCTGCAGTCTCACAATTCGCATATTTTATGAGTCTTTAGATGAATGAAATTGACTCTTAAAGTTTAGATGTGTTGCCTCGAACGAGTTTCCAATTTACGTCGATGGACCGGAACAGGAATTTGAGGTGAAAATCGATCGTGAGCTGAAAGTTGGTAGTAAGTTTTCAGAGCTTCAACGGAAAATGTTTCTCTTGAAAGTTCAGTTTTTGAACAACTTTGATTATATGTGCAAAGCTATTGATTATTCTTAGTGGTTTATTTTGTGCGCATGAAAACTGTTGTTTGAAAACCTTGATATTCTGCAATTTGCTTATTTACTGATCCAAAGTGGAACTTCTAAGCTCTCAGATAGATTGATTGGAGCGCATTATCTTCAATACCTACTCGCTTTGTGCATTTGTACTTTTTTGAATTTTCACAAGCAGAATTTTTTTCGTACGTGTAGAAGAAGTGAAAATGGGAACTTTGAATTAGGTGCACGGCTCTCTTCTGTTTTATGGGGGTTGTCCGTCGAAATTTCATGAAAAAAATTTTAAGGATTTTTCATTGTTTTTCTCATATAGAGCGTTGGGGGGGGGGGGGGCGAAGAGGGCTTTGGGGACACTTAGTTCAAACGCAATGGAACAATTTTTTCTAACATTTCTGGAAAATTCTGCAAGCATTTGTAGCTAAAGCCTTTTCCATACCAGTCAATGTATGTTTTGAAGTTTTTATTGACTTTAGTGCAAACATACGAGGTTATGAATCATATGCCATTGTTGAGCATGACTCGCTTTGACGGCAAGTATATACGGCTTAGTAATCGCCTATATTGGGGTGGGGGTGGGAATGTGGGACTCGTCTAATCTCCATGACTTGTTGACTGTTTACGCCAACATAAAGATATATGGATAAAGAAATAGATAAAACCACTGAAGGCTTAATTCTGCAAAGGTCTTCAATCTCCTTAGATTTTGATAAGGCTATAAGGCTTGAAGAATTGTATGTTTTCCCAATTTTTTCTTTTCAGGAAATATGGGTTGGCTGCTTCCTCTGATAATCATTTTGATCACCTTGTTGCTTCTCTTCATTATCATCTATTCATGTCAAGCTTGGAAGCGATACAAAGCAGACCAGTACCATGTTGCCGAAAGAGAGTAAGTTATTTGACAATCATATTTGCAATTCCAATTGTATCATGGAGTCCTGAAGCGCATGGTTTACTGTAGCGCGGTAAAAGTTCAAGGTGTTTGCGCATACTTCTTACAACTGGATACGCTCCATGCTTGAACTGGGAAGCTGTCGAACAGTTGCGGCGCATCAAATGACAGGCATTTGGCATTTGGTGTCGCGTAAGCAAAGTTGATGCGGCGTCCGCGATGAAATCTGCGAAATCCTAGTTTCCAGGCTTTCCTAAGCTAAAGTCAAAAAAGTTCGGCCCTTTTTCTCTTTTTTTTTCAAATTTTTTTGCTTACGTGACACCAGAGGTTAAGTGCATGTAGTTCAGCGCGCCGCGTCTGTTTAACTGGTTTTGAGCCGGCTTACAGATTGGGTGTGGTACTAGCTTACAAGTTGCGCGAAATGGCCATGTTCACGTTTCATTATCGTGCTAAAGTTTTGATTATTTCAATTTTTTCAGACGACAATACCGAAACGTCGAAAATCAGCGATTAGCCGACAACAATAAGGACTACTAGCCATACCAGCAGTCACTACACATACACACACTCCGGTGCATGACATCTCGACTTAGCCCCATTAGCCGTACTGCACGAAATGCCTAGCTGTAGAGCTTGTAAGCACATTGCGAAGGCTGCCAGATGCCAAGTGCCAGGTGCCTCTACAGTATCCAGTAAGCAGCACGCATTTTTCGATACTCATCACTGCCGTGCTTTTTCTTCTAAAATTTGGACCCAGACAGACATTTGTGACCCTTGCCTCATGACCCGATTGACCCCAGTTTGCTAAGTTTTGATTTAAGCGGCAATGTATATAGAGTAATGTTATACCTAGATTGCCTAATGTTGTTTTATGAGATCTGCCATTGCTGTTAGCACTAATGTGATGTGCGTATCCCGGACGAATTTCTTTTTTTAATTATTTGTGTGCTCTTAGAAGAGATTAGCAAAGTCGTGAAACGTATAGATGAGTTACCACACGCAGACACAGGGCGCCATTGCGGATCAAGCGCGACTGCATCTCTCTTACCGTCTGGTGTCTCTTCCATACACAAGCTGTCTCATTTGGACTCCGTTGCTCCCGGCTGAGATAGTTTGTCTTTGGTAGAGATACCAGACGGTCAGATTTAGAAGTGCGTGCTTGTTCACAGATGCCTATACTTCAGCTCAAATGCGCAACCTTCGACCATTCGTCCACTACGGTTCATCACAATTGGCAATATCTTCATATATTTACACGTTGCTTTCTCGCCTTTGCCTCAGAAGAAACGCCTTATATGACCAAGTGTTAGACTCCCACACACCTATCATGTGTAAGCACCCATGTCCCATCCCAACCCCAGCTTTACAAATGCATTGTTCCATGTTTAAAAGGAACGAACGACATTCAGTCACTCCCCCATCCCTCTTCACTACCGTAATCGATGCACCTCTCTGTTGATGTTATTGATCGGTTAGAATCACCCGTTAAACTTGTTCACGATACAATTGTTCATTCTTATAGTTTTATATAGTTCAGTTATTTTGCGTGTGTCTCCTGCCAGGTGTATCGCGAAGTCACAATCTTCACTTAACTGGAAGTTCATTTAAGTGAGCATACTTAGTGTAATGTGTTCAGAATAAATTTAATATGTCATTATTGATCAGGTACAACTCGCAAAAAAAGCTGGAAGTCTTTATGTAAAGGTCAACGTTGGTTTTTTTCTAAAAGTACCGTTCGTGCTTCAGTTTTCGCGTTACCCTTTTACTTCGGACGCAGCGTCGAAGATACTATGGAACTAACAGGTTCGAAAAATCAGGAGGGGTCTATACAAGTGAAGTATGCCAGAGGTATACAAAGTGAGTCATTTCTTCCGCAGGTGCAGACGTTAGTATTCCATAGTGTTGAGCGTATTAGCCAGAAAATCATGTCCAGTCGTCCTCACGTCGCCCTTATGGAGGTGTTGCAGGAGGAACCAAAGTTTTTTCATTCACAGTTTCAGAAGAAAAGGAGAAAATCAAATGCAAGCACTGCGGAGCAGATTTGTCAAGGACGTAAAACTGTGGCGGTTAAGGTTGCAAGAAAAAAACGGCACAAAAGCCATAACAAGTTTTGTTTGCTGGACTTATTATTGCTGAAGGCGTGCTTTTAGATTGCGCGCAGTCTCAGCAGTTGGTATCCGTTGCTCTCCATCGCTCAGCCCCTTTTGATCGAAATAGTTGCCGCTGGGAAGAACGAGGCGCATGGGTCGCAAATCAAGCCCAGATGTGTTTCAGCTAGTCCACCCGTTCCGCTAACATGTCTACGTATCTCGCTGAATTTTGGACGGTTGTTAACGTCTCTGTGTCTGTACTGCATTTGACCGGCCCGTCGCTGTCTCGCTTTTGCTCACATCGCGCCATTTACGAACGTTGCACATTCTCAAGGCGTTCGGGTGCTTTTCGAAGATCATGCTGGAGTGATGATGGGACTTAAAAGTGATACAATACGAGCCCAGGTCACATCACATAATAGAGCAATGAGAGAAGTTGAGTTGAGCAGCTGGGTTTGAAGCTGCGGATCCATTAGCTGATCGGTGGCCCAAAGAAATCCGGAAGCGGCCCAGGCTGCTTATCTTTTCGTGTTGGTATCTCCCTTAAGTATACATAGAACATTCTAGACATAAGGGGTGGTAGTAATCCACCCGGCATGTTAGCATAAGACATGAGGGCGAGCTCGCAAACCTCATACAAGCTCATGTTTTGGGCGTGACGTTTGCGAGTCTATGACTTCTTTTAGAGATAATCACAAGGCAGTGTCAATCGTAAAATCATTGCACCTTGTAGGATGGAACTCTTATCTGGCCAACGAGAGCATGTTAACATTGAACTACATGTTTACATCACGTCTCATTCCAGGAAGATTAATCAAGTTCACCATCACCTTCGCATTAACATGTTCATCACACATAGGTACATGGGCATCGCTGAGTTGCCATTCGTGTCGGAGCGTTTTCTCCCAAACCTTCTTTGTCAAATGACACCAAGCAAACTGAATATAGATAGCTGGCAACTAGTTCCCCGGACCCTGCCATGTCGTGACAGTCGCGTCAGCTGTCAGCAGGCACGTTTAGTCTGATCAGTCTAAAACAATGCAAACCCGTGAGGTGAGTGGTTTATGCATAACAGTTAAACGAGATATTGAGAGAAGCCCGACAGGGTCAAGCCAATTTTGGGGTGATTCCATTCGGTACGGGCTGCGCGTACATGCATCATAATATCCGAAGCCTAAAGGAAAGAGTGACAAACAACTCGGAGCCAGGTATTTGATTGAGCAAACAGGATGTTAACAATCCAGCAAAGAAACTGCGCATATGGTTATATGTATCTCTCATGTGTATGCCTGATTGTGGGAAGGCTTGGAAAGATGTTGATTCTCGAACACATCTCATGAAAAAAAATTGCAAGTGCCTCATCAGCAGATACCCTTAGTTCATGAACTTTGAAGGACAACGCAACTTTGAAATACTGGTCATGCAAATTTGGGACCGGTCTTCATGTGGATATGGTACTGGAGGGCTGGGGAGGGGGGGGGGGAGAGAAAAGTGAAGGGATAGTGCAACAACCACTGTCTCAGCGGCTGGCTTCTCACATCGTTTATGTACAGGAAGATTCTCACCAGTCAAAGCATGCCTTTGCAAGCGGATCAATCAGCGATAATGTAGTGCAATAATAAGCACTGTTCCGTGCGTTTAAGATGCTGTCTCCGCTAGACTAGGCACGCTTTGGACTGGTTAAAATACCTCATAACTGCCGCTTTGGGCTGCGATCAAACCTCAGTATCACTTTCAACAAAATATGATACCTAGGTAGTAGTACACTGACCTCCTAGGCGCTGCCTCTAAAAAAATTGCTAAAAAGGAGTTGTTGCAACTTCTTGAGCATCGTCGCAAAGTCTAACAGATAACCGGGAAAGTCGAGTAAATTTTCCGGTCAGTACAGTGCCCTCGCGGTCATGGATCCGCGGTAAAAGTAGATGAACAAATAGCTATGACTAAAATGCCGCTAAATTGCACGCGAAAATTGCAGGCAACACTGGCTTTGAATTACCCTTATTTCAAGGAGATTAGCGGCTGAAAGGCGTCGGTCGCGCCCTCTGATCTTTCTTCTCTAACCTTAACCACTCCCCGAAGCCCCGCCTTCCAGCCGTCAATCTTGTTGAATCAAAGGATAAGTATCACCCTTCCGGAGGGCTGTAGCTGTCTGCAGTGGCGCATGCGACGCAGTGGTGAAGTGCTTGTCCCATACAGCGCCACAGTTGTACGGGTCATAGTCTCGCAAATTTTCAGGAAACTTTTCACCTTAGGGATCCATTCATCTTACCGTGAATCCCACCGGCCTTCTATGGGTTTACCAATTACAACCCCTTTGACGGTGTAGTATTAAACATCCCTGCGCTTTTCAGGTCAACTTAGTTCCAGAAAACCCACTGGAAGATCTCACAAAGCGGAAAGAGTATCATGTTTATGATCAGCGTGTCGGATAACCCCTCTCCCTCCTATGATTTTGACCCCTATCGTATACCTACCGTAACCCCACAGAAAGGCGTTTTCCTGCGGGGAAAATGTGATATTCGTGATCAGAGTGTCAGGTAACCCCCGTAGACCTAGTTTGCGCGAAATCCGCGGTGAAAAATTTTGGGTTTCGGATAGCCGAATAGCGCCAACAACCTAGGGCTCAGTATTCCAACAGTTTTTTACTCACTATCTGTTTTGGTTATCAGTATGCCTCGGTTCCAAAAAAAATCGTAAAAATAAAGAAATAGTTCGAAAAGAAAATCACAGCAATGCCATGAATCTCATGACATATGACATGGTCAAAGCACGACAAAATGCCGGCATTTTGCGCTCCTCAATAGGCACCTATTTTTTCTGACATAAAGGCGAAATGCCGGCAGGTCAAGGGCGAGATTGCGCAGAAATCTCGACACAATAGCTCACGAAGTTTCCTACAAGTCAATCTTTTGGGTCCAAAATTTGTAGCTGTCGGGATTTTTTTCGATCTTCATCTGGTGCTCATCTCTTAGCTGAGCCGTCAGACCTGAAATGTGCCAGACTGATTGCTTTGGGGAACCTAGAAAGGGCATTAGCAGTTTTCATGACCTGAGGGCGAGATCGCGGCGAGTTAAAGGCACCGTCTACCCAGATCCTCGACTTCCAGGTTTTTCTCCTTTTAGGGCTGAGGCGAGAAAGTGAAAACCTGTCATTCTCCGTTCCGGAGAACCCCCCTTGACGAGGGTAGACGAGTATGTAGTATCACAGGCTCTCAGGGTTCGCTAATATGAGTCATCTGAAAAGTCGTCGTGCGCAACTGCGCAAACCTCGTCATCGTCTTGTTGGATTACTTGGATTAGTTTACAAAGAATAGAGTAATGCATTAAGATCATTCATTTATCATTAAAGAGATATCACAAAAATTTCTCAACTACATTTCTTTCTCATGCACGCATCCACCTGCTCGACAGTAACCGGTAGGTCGAACTTTTCTCCAATCTCTGCGACTCTTGGATTCTGCTCAACTCAACAGCTTCGACAGTATTCGAGGCAGGGTCAAGCTTGTGATGCGACTGTCGCAACGGGGGGTTGTAAAGAGGGTACCTAAGGTGGGGGGGGGGGGGTCGTAAGAGAAGGCAGTTAGGCTAAAATACTCTAAGCTTAAAAGGGAATCAAAAAGCAGATAATTAGTTATGTTCTTTACAATACATCTATAAGAAAGTTAAAATCAGAATGAAAAAGATAAAAAATCTGTAGAGACAAAAGCGAGTATCTTTACCAGCTGTGACCATCATAAATTTCTAAATCTTTTTGAGTGTTTTTACGGGCCCATATGATTTATCTGCACTTTGGAGATGCTCCGCTACATCAGTGCAAAATTTGGTGTTATTTTGTCAACTGTGGATTTTCTTATAATTTTATGTATGGTAGCAAAAAATCAGGAAAGGGGGGTCGTACCTGGGTCGCATCTAAATTTCTTCGGAGCTATTGAAGCTTGTTGGCTGCAATTCTGCTGTAATATGACGCCATCCTCCTACCTTCTCTCATAATAATTGCAGGCTGTTTTATAACTTCTCTGGTAAGTTACAAAATTTTAAGCTCAAAAATCCCGGTTTTTGCTTTTTAGGATCGCATCTAAATTTGCGAGAGTCGCATCTAAACTTTTTCGAGCTTACTGATCCTCAAAAGCTGAAACTTTTTCTATGGATAGTCTGGGCACTATACTACAGAACCTGTGCCTTGCAGCCTCTCAATCTTTTCCTGGCCTTAGTTACGAATTTTCAAACTATCGTGCTCATGCACGTTTTTGACGTCGTTCTGGACGGCGCTCAAACGGTTTTTTTCGCTGGAAAAACTGTGGAAGAGGTAGGAAGTAAGCTTCTTAGTCAAAAACATCCTTTGTAGTTCAAGAATGTCATCTTTTTCTCCGTGCAAAAATTTGTGTCGCCTACGGGAATCGCATTTGCTGGTCTGAAATATGCCTGAAAATTTAAAAAAAAAAAACTTGCAGATTCTCAAACATTATTGAAGGTGTGTACGTGTGCTACAGATGCTGGACGCACCCATTGGCCTAGAAATTCTGCTTCCAAAACCCCACTGAAGTTCTCACGCAGGTGTTTCTTGAGATTGACATT